CTCTCTCAAACCCCGGCGATCTCACAAAACGGCACGAAGACCACTGGTAGCATCCTCTCCAACATACCGTCCACCGGCGTCTCGTGGCCGGCGTGGGCCCAGCTGTGCATCTGGGCCCAGATCTGTGCCGCCGTGACAACCAGCACGGCGCCCCTCCGCCAGAGTCAAATCTGACCTCGCCACCCTCTGACCCACTCTGCAACTGCTGTCACTGCAGTCCACTGACGTGGGTACCGGCATTCTTGACAGCCAGCGCGTGACACAAACACTAACAACAACGCTGCGACGTCCTGGAGACATTACACTGGACGAGCGAAGAGCGTGAATCTATCTAACAACGGAGCATCACAAGCCGTCGATGGACCTCCAAAATGCCCCGCAAGCATGTTCATAACGAGTGATCTGTAGGAACACAAGGCCCACTACATACTATGACCTGCAGGTACTCATCTGCGAACTTGGAAGGTTTCGAGAGCTCTACAGCTGCTTCACACAATTCGTAAGTAGCCGTATGCCCGGAGCCGCATGCCGCACATAATTATGAGCTTTCCACTTGACAGCCGGCCCAACTCGTCCAGGTGAAGCTGTTCTGATCCCAGAGTACAACCTCGGCCGGGAAGCCGGCCTTTGTTGCCGTGCAAAGGAGGCGGATCCCAGCCCCTGAATACCGGCATCTCACCCCGCCAGAGGTGTCGCCGCGAATCCCATTCGCCTCCGCGTGTACACTAGCGCCACCTACAGGCCCGGGTTGAAGTAGAGCTTCTTGCGCCAGCCGCGTTGAGACGTCTCGATCGTTTGCTTCTCGTTGTCCACCGTGATGATCGTCTCCATGCGCCGGTGTATGATCGTGTGCATCTCCCCCAGGCTGTGGCTGCACGCGTGCTCCGCGATCACCTCGCAGAGCACCTGCACCAGCCACGTGCCGCGGTCCAGATCGCGCATGGACACGTAGCCGGGGATGGTGGAGTACGTGAGGTAGAGGTCGCCGAACTCGGGCAGCGCGCGCTCGGGCGGCGCCGGCTGCCACGGGCGCCCATCGGTGCGCTGGCGCGCCGGGTCGCGCAGGCGCACGGCGTGGTTGTTCTCGTGTCCGCGGCACGCCTGGAACAGCAGCCACTTGGGCTTGCCGGCGAGCAGTGGCGCCGCCTCATGGCTGAAGCAGCCGATCACCTCCTCCACGGACAGCGGACGCGAGTCGACGCCGAAGAGCACGTGCTCGCCGCCGTGCGTCAGCACGGCCAGCACGGCTGCGTCGCCGTGGTCGTCGCGCTTGGCGAAGGAGGCAACGGCAGCACGCAGCTCGGCGCGCTTCAAGTTGCGCTCCAGGTGCACGTCCAGCCCCAGCTGCTGCAGCAGGGCCTGCAGCAGCGCCTCGTCCACCTCGCCACCGTTGCGGTGGTCGTGCAGATCCGTGTTGTGGAAGTGCAAGTTGGAGATGATGAGTGCCCGGCCGCGCGGTCTCGACACCATGCGGTACGCGTCGCCTTCGGAGCCGAGGAACCGCTCGGCCGGCAGGACGTTGAGCTCCGCGGCCGCCGCCGCCGCCGCCGCCGCCAGCAACCGGCCCTCATCGATGTGATCGTGCGCCGTCGCCGGCGGCGGCGGCGGCGGCGGCAGCGGCGGGTGCGCCGGCGTGGTCGGCATCACGCCGCCGCCGCCGCCGGCACCGGGCACCAGGTCGGCCAGGCAGACGGTGGGCCGCAGCAGACGCGCCGCCGGCAGCTGGCCGCTCTCGAGAAGGGCGCGCACCAGGCCCTCAAAGGCGTGCGGGCCGCGGCGCGTGACGGTCAGCAGCAGGCGACGACGCCGCTCGCGCGGCTCCCGCTCGGCCTCGAGCGTCTCGACGTCGACCGGCGTCAGCACCCGCAGCCGCAGCAGCTGGCTCAGCAGCTCGGGCGTCAGCTGCACCGCCTGCAGCAGGTGCGGCAGCTCGCGCAGAATTGTCGCCCGGTCGGCGTCGTCCATCGCGGTGGCGGCGGCGGTGGCGGTGGACGAGGGCCCGACACAGACAATGCAGATGCTGGAGCCGCAGGCACTGCAACTATGTGCACTCCCTCACCTAGGGAAAGGTAAGTTCATGTGAGATAGCATCAGGAGCAAAGATTTTGAATGGAATGGACAACCCGGGAGGTAGGAATGCTCTTGAGATCACCTCTGAATTTGAACTCATTTCTCACCATGTTGCGCAGTTATGCAATATCAAATTTTCATCTCAGGATCCTCTCCTATTAGGAAGTTGATGGCCCGAAACACAGCCCACCACACCAGTTACCAGCATGCTGCACTGAGGTCAAAGGTGGTAAAAATATGATGAATGCATACCAGTTGATAGCCTGCCACACATAGCTTTGAACTATTGCTGTGTAACACACTGTGGTCACACTGCAAGTAATGGTACCAATGAAAACTTTGGTAGCTCTTATCATTATTTCTTATCATGTTTACACACTGTTTAGGCCCATCAATTAAGCCTTCTTCAGGCCAAAATTAAAATTTGAAGGCAGTGGGAACCAAAGCCAAATGGTGATAATGACAGATCTTGGGTGCAGACAGTTAATGGTGGCATTAGCAGCAACATTTAGAAGCTATCACAATTATCACCTGCATTGAATGTTGACCAGTCAGCACTGTATGCTTCAGAACACATCCAGGTCAGCCAGCTGGTCTGGCTAAAACATGTGCATGATTTATCACTCTGTGGCACGTGCTCAACATATGTGACTTTTAATCCTCATATTGGAAGAACTTTCTTGTGTGACACAAAGCCTACTTACAAAAGCAACCATGATCATGTTAGCAGGGTTACTGGCTCTTTTGTTTAACAATTGTCATTTTTATAAATTTAGTCCCAATGGCTTGCATGGGTCACTTTGGGTTCAGAGTACCTGCTAAGCAAAGCTTGTTGTGTGCACCCCACACCCACCGCCCAAGCGTGCAGTCCATTTCAACTGACAATTTTCCCTTGCCCTTTTGCCAGACAGGAATGGGGAGGTTTTTAACCTGCCCAAAATGCTGCGGCATGGTCACCAGGGGCCTGGGTTGACCCCTGTTGGCCAGTTGCCAGCTGATGTTTCCATTGAGTCAGGTCAAACCAAGCAATGCACCCACTCTGGGACTGTACCCAGTGCCACTGGATTAGGAGTCCAGAATCTTCCCCCAGACCAGGGAGGTGGCATTTGAAATATTTAAGCTTATTTCACTGACAAAAGTACGGACAAAGCACTGGAAAAATATTACTGCCTACAGCAGATTCTTTAGAAATTTCAGAATGCAGCATAGGGAGAACAGAGAATAAAAAATTGCAATTAAAAGGGGCAAAATAAAAGAGGGGATTGGCAGCACAGTACTGTTTGGATGTATTACACAATACCACCAAACTGGGAGAATTGTATCCAGTTCTGCTAAAAATTACATGCCAGCAAAAGTATTAGGTGCCTAGTTGTTACACCACATGGAATGTATAATCCACAATCATCAGCAAACAGCCCTTTAGCATAGCGTACCATTCAGATGAATGGAAAAAAACAAAACTTTGCTTCAGTGTTACAGCATTGTCTTGGCTATTTCAGTCATACAAATTTGATTTAACGCTCCTTTAAAAAATGTGCCGATCTGCTAATTACACCACGTATGTCCAGACCACTGCAAAACTGCTGTCTATGGCAGATGATGATACTTTGGGCTTGAGGGCAAACAGTCTGCATTTGATATGCAGAGTGAACAAACAGAATGAAGACACTATTGGAAGACAAAGGATAGTAAGCATTGGGAGACAAGGGATAAGTGTAAAATTGCCAAAAAAAAACAAAAGCCTCAAAGCTTTGCACAAGCTGAACACACTACAAATATTTGAGAACAAGCAGCAACAGGTGTGGCCACGGCACACAGCCACAATACCACACCAAAATGTGACGAATTTACTGATATACGCGTGAAAAAGCTCATTGGTAAGAAATTTACCTCCCACACACAGCTGGCCCGTACCAATCCACAAGGTCCACCTGCAGCCGCAATGTCAGCCGCAATGACCAGGGCCCAGCAATGACTCACAAATGTAAATCAAGGCGCCTTTGTAGAGGGCACAAAGAATCATTCGTAGCGAGAGCGCCAGTTGGGGATGCTTTACTTCTTCCAAGATACGTAGAGCTGGACATCACTACTTCGTCGCGATCCATACAGCCAAACCCCCCGCGATGCTGCACCAATTTTCCCAGATACAACACAATTTGAAAGCGAGCATGAAGTTTTAATGGGTGGTCTGAAACTGGTGCTTTCAGGTCACCATCTTGACCTTCAAAAACCGCACAAGCCCCGTGAAGGCATCGCAGCCAAGTACAAACTCGGAAGCCGCCCGACCAGGCTTCCTAGATGTTTTACCATAAGATAGAGGAGATGCAGTTTCATCAGCCGTCCCGGACCTGGTGATCTCAGGTCACCGCCTTTAACCATCAAAAACCGCGTAGCCACTTTGAGACCTTGCTGCCATGTCAATCCCGGAAACCGCCCGACCGGCCGACTCACACCTCCCCGTCCGACCCCCGCGATCTCCTCGCAACGTTTGCCAGCAGACAGACCACCGACTCTGAAGCTGCTGATTTCAAGTCACCATCTTCACGCTCAACTTTGGAGCGCATACGCCCAATGTGCTTGTTTAACGCTGTGTATTATATAATCATGAAAGCGATGGCATCAAGGGTTAGCGAGTCATCGCCCTTTCCGTGGACCGAGAACCCACCAGATTAATTAAAGGGAATGTTTCACATTTGAAGCTATTGAGGTAGGCATCAGATATGATGGGAAAAGATTACTTTTAACTATTGGTAAGCTTTCAAGGTTAAACAACGACGCTAAGTAGCAAAATTTCAAAGCTTGTAAAAATGGGCCCCAACACGTCATTGTTTGATGGTGCCATGGGATGGTTTTGTAACGACAGCAATACCTGGCAGCATCTGGCTGACAGACCTAGAGAATACCCCCAAACACATGAAAGCTGACGCCAACCGGGCATTCTCGTCGCAGGGGTTTTGTCGGGTGGCGGGTTGGTAAGAGGCATATCGGAGAAAACGTTGTACTTTGTTTGGACGTACTAATAGGAACGGAGCGTAACAGTACGATAGGGGTGCTCTCTTTCCGTATTTGGCGCATGGCCTACTATTTTGTGACCTCGCAGTATCTCCGATTCATTATCGTTGGCCACAGATGTGGACAAGCATTTAAAAACAAACTGGATGTCCACGTTTTATGGCCCTAACAACGTAATAATTGCCAGGGTACAGATGAATGAGAACATGTCACAAACTAAGCGTCATCAAACGCGGGCCAGGACAGGGGTGTCTGAGAAGGGGCTAAGCTGCATTTGGTGTTACTTTTTATAATGTACTGTTGCGGGCATGACTGTTCACACATTTGCGCTCGCTGGTCGATTTAGGTGAGTGTTGCGTGTCACATGAATTTCCCACCAGCCAAATTTTACGACTCCCGCGGTGAATAAGGCCCCCCCCAAAAAAAATCGCTTTCGCATGTTTGCAGAAAATCCGCAGCCAGCGGGTCGGAACACCCAATTCCGCGAGAAGGGGCAAGTTGGCAGACAGGCTGATGCGATTTGGCCAGTCTTGGTGGTGCCGGGACAGCTGCGGAACTTGGATGGAGGCCTCTTCGCCTGTTCGAACGGGGGCCTCTTCGGCTGTTCGAACGGAGGCCTCTTCGGCTGCTAAGACGGCGAGCCTCTTCTGCTGCTCGGACGGGGGCTCGCCAGAAATCCGTGGCGTCATTTGTGCAGGATATAAAGCCATCTGGCGGAACAACCATGCTTCTAGTCGCCGCGATATTGAGTGAAGTGATCAGATGGTCAGCCAGCAGGTGGGGCAGCTGCAGCGACTGGCATCCACGCAAACGGATACAACTGCTGTTTGTTTAGGGGGGACACGATATTTTGAAATATGGCGTATAAACTGTCATCTGAACTTATGGAGGTCGTGCAAACGACGCTTGCTAAAACGGTATTGCATTTTTAATACCGATGGAAGGTCCATGTGTGTCTGCCACCCAGAGACATCAGGATGCATTATCCACAACACAAATTCAAGCAAAACTGTTAAAAAAATAAGAGGCGTCTTTGCCATGTCCTGAATTAGGCATATTGGGAGCTAGCGTCGCAAATGTCATAAACCATTTTTGTAATGGCCTTGGTAAAAACATTTACCAGAAAATGCTATAGTTGGCTTGCTAAGCCCGCGATTTCTTTACCATAGCCATTATCATTTGATTTGGCTTTGGCATGTGTCATAACAGGACGGCACGATTTGCCGTAAACGTGTAATCAAACAATTGCAATTCTCACGTAAGATTCTCACATTTAGTTTGACAGCCTTTTCCCTTTATTTGGACTTCCCACTTCGCTATTAATGCGACATGGTCATTTCAGCTTGGTCATCATTATGCCACTCAAAATACGATTGCTTTCAAAGTCCCGTTGGCAGGTTGCCAAAGTTCGAGGGCCGGTCAAACCCCTGGCGGTCACGTGTCTTTAGGGTACAAGCCGATACCCTGTTACGAGAATGAGTGATAAGAGACGTCTTTTACCTTAGCCCCCATGTTCATAGCGGTCGTCCACTTCCTTAAGAAATCCAAAATCAAAACACACACACACACACACACACACACACACACACACACACACACACACACACACACACACACACACACACACACAAGCAGCCACACAAGTTAGCCTTTCCGTGGGATTTGTTATCTAGGCTTCGCCCGCTTCTTAACATTCGACGGTCACAACGCCTCAGTTGTACGTCTACTTGTATGGAGGCATCTAAGAACTACATGCGGTCGGTTCAATCAATTGCGAAAATATAAGCTCAATTAGAGTAACATGCGCTGGTGATATTCATAGCTTGGCCATGCTTCACGGGGATCCTTTCCGGAGAAAACTTACATCATCATGGCTTTGTCATTCGCTTGTCATTCACCGTTCTCTTCATTCCCTGATATGCTATAAGGGTTTCGACACCTGTGATATGTATTTTACTCAAAATCAGTCAAGTTGGGTTGTCCACTAAAAAATAGCTACCATCGCGAGAATAAAGTTGAAATGACATAGCTTCTCTCAAAGGAACCTATTTCGTCTAAAGCGGTCTTCAGCATGTCAATCGGCACTGCTGACCAGCGCCTGTGTTGCAGGTTCGACATGGAAGCCGCTGCCGTTCCTGGTGACCCTGGACGTCGCCGTTTGGTTGGCCGCTGCGAGGACGCCTGACAGCCTTCACAGCCACTTCCCTGGTTTACATGGACACCTGACAGTTTTCACAGCCACTTCCCTGGTTTCCATGGACACCTGACAGCTTTCACAGCCACTTCCCTGGTTTTCATGGACACCTGACAGCTTTCACAGCCACTTCCCTGGTTTCCATGGACACCTGACAGTTTTCACGGCCACTTCCCTGGTTTCCATGGACACCTGACAGCTTTCACAGCCACTTCCCTGGTTTCCATTGACACCTGACAGCTTTCACAGCCACTTCCCTGGTTTCCATGGCGTCGGGCGCCTGTTGCTCGTGTCCCATTGAGCATCGTGGGCGACCCGGCGCATTCGTCCCTCTAAACGCAACGCCCGCTGTAGCTGAATGCTGTTGATGCCGGAGGTGCTGTCGGGCTTCATGCACGTGGATGCATGCGATCGGCATCGCTAGCGCCGCAATGTCGGTTCCAGTGCGTAAGTGGCCATCGTTAGAACTGGACTTTGGAGGAGCTCGGTGGGATCTTGTAATGTGTGCGTTGAAATTGTGCGAGGCTGAAGAGAAGCGCGTCAGATCGGTTAGAATCATTTCAGAGATGTCGTTGACAGACATGCGTCCGTGTATGTGAGATGTCTGCTCTCGTGTCTGACGAGAGTCTAAATCGACCTTGCATGAATGAAGTTTTAACCGGGATTCAGATGAATCGATTCACCTTGCATATGCATTATCCTCAAGCCCAAAATAAATACGTAGGTTCTTTAGGCGTTTGATATATACATGCTGCAGGCACTGCCCAGATAAATCCAGACCAAGGCATCGAACACAATTTTGGCCTCAAAGCAGAAGCACCATGTCTGTATGTCTTAACACGCGCTCGGGTTGGGGTCAATTTGACCTCCCGAAAGTTTTTTATAAAATAATTTTTGAACGGTGAGGCGCAGCCGCGCCGAACTTTGCATAGTTATAGGCAATGAAATAGCGGATCTTTTGGTATGCAAAAGTGATGTACCTTGTGAGGTCGCTGCCCTACGGCAGGTCAAAGTTGTCCTGTGACTCTCAGCGAAGGTAATTTCTAGGGAATCGTTCAAAGTGATTTGCCAACGAAGTGTTAGACGAAGCTACACATCTGAAATAGTTTCTTAGACAATCAAGCGATTAAATTTAGGATTGCGACAAATTGCATTGACCTAAGGCTAAGCATGAAGGTCACACCAAGGTCCAAACGAGCGTGCTTTTTCACTGAAAAGCTTGCTGTACGAAGAAGTTTCTTGATATTCACTACGAATTTATTGATGGTAGGAACCGCGGCGGACATCTTCCATAGACTTGTCAAAAGTTAGACTAGGCCACTGACCTAAATAAACCCAGATCAATCTTTTGTATGTATGAATGTGCTGCCTAGTGTGCTCCTAAGCGTTTATTCAAGTGCAAAACCCAAACAATCTCGTGGCTTTTTCACCCCAATGAACTTTTAAAGGTTCTACACAGTCACCGACCCAAAAATGAACCCGGTTTCATAAGAAAGTCTGGGGCACTTTGCATACCTAAATTAAGTTTGAACTTGTTTAACCTACTTGACCCGAAGGCCATGCACTACGAATCTAAGAGTTTGACACAAGTGAGTTCACACTCAGACCAACTCTCTCTGTAAATCTTATGTTTACCTCTTTTATTTTTTTTTGTTAATCCTAGGGGGGATCAAAGTGACCTCCACCCGAGCGAACGGTATTCAGCCTGCCACCCGGCGCGCGCGTTTACACACGCAGTGTAGGACTCCTAAAACCAAGCGCAGTGGAGGGAAGGGGTGGATCTTGCCCCCCCCCCCCCCCCCTCCCGCCCGCCGACTATCTCGAGAAGCGTGAGAGGAAGAGTAACGAAATTCCCAGGGCGGCTAGGTACTACAGGAAACTAAGTTGTGAAGAATCATGGCACAAGGCCGGCATCTTCAGGGGCAAATGGGGTCAATCAATTCTGGAATGGTTTGCATGCTTGGCTTGCCAACCTTGTGAATTGCTGCGATTTTGTTTAAATGTACTGAAACGTTAACAAGTTTTGCTGTTGACATGATATGAGATACAACAAATATTTGTTGAATCTGTTGTAATATATGTTGCCATTTGACCTCACCCCCGCTCCAGAGTGGCGGTCGTTCAGCCGCTCGGCTCACCGGCCAGGCGGATGGCAGACCGAGCGCAACCGACGCTCTAAGGAGACAGCTGAAGTGCGTCAGCAGCGATGAATGAAATATACAAATGCTTTGCTTCGTGAGAGCAAACGACAGGAGTTTTCAGAACGTTCCGAGGTCAACGTGGCAACATGACATGATTCACAAATCAGGATTTGCGTTTGTGGCAATCGTGAGGTTGACCTAGATGGATCCCACTGGCCTGTTGTAAACTCGACCTGAACTGACGTTGGTGACCCAGCAATACTACCATAACGTATACATAAAAAGTATCTTTAAAACAGCATACGTATAAAAGTATACATAACAAGCCGCCAGTGCTGTCAGTGCTTCCTCACCAATCAGTAATTCCCTGCTGCATAGATGTAAGTTCTGCTGTTCCAGTGTCTCGCCTCCGGCTCGCGGGTACACGGTACGTTTGTAGTCACTTCTGTGCTTAGCGATTGTCACAGGCACTTCACACAGTCCGTCCCGCCGGCGCGTCCGTCCTCGCGCCAACGGCCCTCAGGATCTTCTCCTTGTTACTGCCTCCTTTCCTGGTCCCCGCGGCGCATCCCTCGCACGGAACGCCTGGAGCAGGAGAAGGGGAACGGGAGCGCCTCTAAGCGGCGCTCGCCAAACTACGCAAGCACTTCAGTCGGCTAGGCACATAGGTGTTCTCTGACAGCGTACACTATGAACCGGGAGCACATCAGCGCCTTTTCCCACGCTCCAGTCGCTGGCTGCGTTGTTGACTTTGTCAGGCTATATCTCACAATTTCCTGATCGATTGTCTGCTTTTTACTTTAAGCAAAACGCTAGGGTTTCACTTGCATATAGGCAAAAAATATACAAATCCCCATTCACTCGGGAAATATTCTTTAAAAAAAACAGAAAGGGGAGGATTTCGCTCCCCTCCAAGTCACCCCTCCCCTCCTTTCCCTACTCCCTTTTGCCCCTCCTCTGCACTTTTACTTCTCTGGGGAGCAGGAAAAAAGTACAAATACACAACAAACGGATTTATCTGGGGATACTTTCATCACGATTGCGTCACTGAATACTAACAGCTGACACAGAAACTGAATGTCTCTTATCGCAGCGCACATATGCGCCACTTACAACTGAGAGCAGCGGCGTGAGATGTGTTCAGGGCGCTAGGTGTGTGGGACCGCAATTCAGCTAGCATTAAGGAATCTTCTCTCCAAACGTTTCCATTGTACCGGTGAATCAAAGGCCGACAAATTCATTCAGGGATGCCAAAAGATGGAAGGTATGCCATGTGCCACTGTATGCTGCAATACCACGCAATGTTTTTGAAGAAATAGCAAGGCTGGTTTGTTGTGAGAGTCCTTGTATCTTACCTTGCAGCAAAGTTGATACTATCAATAAAGTCAATCAACTATAAAAATGTTGTGATGCTGGTAAACTACGATCAAATTATCTACAATCAAATCATCCAAAATATACCAATTTTGCTAAAAGGATTTCACCTGACATGTGACATGTAACCACATCCTCCAAGTATGTAGGTCAGCTGTCTAAAGCCATTAAACTGCAACAACATTGGTATACACTCTGTATTGCAAAATCAGGCATCTGGCACATAGTTGTTCAAGTGTGTAATAAACTACCTTCCTGAGCTACTTACAATTATGTGTTTGCAACTTGGGAAGGATTTTGGAGCTTCAGTGTTTCAATATTCATCCAATTGAGTGGTGGGACTGCCAAAGTGTTTTCATGCTGTTACCCCCCAGCTGGGGATCACTTCCTGTCACCCCTCTCCCTTGCTCCAAATTTGCTGATCAGCATCAAACTGGGCTGAAGTCAACCTAGCATCTCAGCACCTTGGGGTTGACTAAATCAACTGGGCAGGTCAGATGTCTGTGTTTAGGGTCAAAGAGCAACAGATGAGCATGTAAAAACCCAGGTGCAGGCTATAGGAGGTCACTGGAAAACTAGGGATTCTAGTAGCATGAAATTTATATTTATATCCTGGAAACCCTGCTGGATGACTTTTGGAATACCACTGGTGATTCAATACCAGCCAGCTTCAAGTCCCAGAGCAGGTACATTGTTTGGTCCAACTTATTTGGAAAGGTCAAGTCATGACTGGCCTTTCACCATGTGACCATTTAACCTTTGACCTCTGGCCATGACTGGTGAACCCAGGCCTGGAGCTTCCATGCCATAGTATTTTTTGGTAAGTGCTCTGCAGTCCTGTCCTGTAGAAGTGGAGGTATAACATTATCCATTGAACAAGATAGCACAACTTTGGTGGCAGTTTCAGGGGTGCACTCAACAGACTGTGCCTTTGTAGCTGTGTGCTGGGGCCCAGTGTCAGTCTTGTGAACCACTTGGAAAAATGATAATTGAAATAAATATGTGTATGGCAAACAGTGTGGTAACAGCCTTTGGTGAGGATAAGTAGTCAAACCAAAGCAAGTTTTATCTCTTAAGGTGCATGGTAGATATTAGCTGAAACCTCAGCAACATTGTAAAATACTGTGGCTAACAACGTTGTTCATGTGCGGTCCTTCTTGCAACGTGATGCTGTTGTTTCCAAGATGTGTGCTAATTGCTTTAATGGTTATTGCATGTCAGATACTTAGATGCATGCCTGGTGCCAGGCCCCATCTTATACTGCCCCAGGCAGTAACAGACAGGTTCATAGGTTTTAACAGACAGACAGGTTATAACAGACACAGGTTATAACAGACATAACAGGCAGCATTATATACAGCATATAACAGACAGGTTATAGCAGACAGACTCACCTGATGCTCAAGCATTTTTCTCCTGTCAAGCTAAACATGGTGTAGAATGGGTGGGCACATCACTTCTATTAAGGAAGATCAATTATTGAGCAGTGCATGTGACCTGCTTGAAGTGACTGCTTACATAATTTGCTTCCCTTTTTCCTACAACAAATTTGCCAATCATGTATGTGCTAGGACCAAAGTTTCATTATAGACTAGGACATGAATGACAGGTCCTTGCTAATAGCACTAATGGTTGACTGCATCTGAGTTTACTTTTACAAACTTACAGCACCTGTTGCCATGAAACCCTCTTTTTTATAAATGTTTTATGAATGAGTTTCGCTTTTAAAAATGTACAGCACTTGTTGCCATGAAATCCTCTTTTTTATAAATGTTGCTTGTACCCAGCGCTTAAGGTAATATGTAACCAAACCTGATCTGGCCTGGCCAGACCTTGCCTTGCCATACATTACCTGGCCTAAACAGTCCTGACCTGATTTGACCTATGGTGACCTAAACTAATCTTGGTTGACCTGGCATGACCTGTCCAGACCTTACCATGCTACAGACTTGAGGCTGACTAAAGTCCTGTCCTGTAGCTGGCACACCCTAAGTACCAAACTATTCCAGTTTGTGCTGCGCACTGTCCCACCTTCTTCCATCCCCCTCCCCCTCCCCCCACCAACCCCATCAGACACCAATCCTTGGCCCTGCTATCACTGCACCTGCCACCGTGAGGCGCCCCCCCCCCCCTCCCCGCTGACGGCCGGGCCGTGCCCCAGGTCGTACCGGCGCCGGAGCCGCTCCTCCAGCGGCGGAGACTCGGGCGGCGACAAGGACCGGCGGAAGCGCACCACCAGGTGAGGCGGCGGCGGCGGCGGCCAGCTGGCCATGACGTCAGGCTGAGCTCGGCGGGGTGGCGCTCCCGCCTGCGGCGTCAGCTGACCGGGCCTGAGCCAGCGTGTCCGTCATCACAGGGCTGCAGAGGTGCTGGGGAGGCGGCTGTTGTCGTCGCTAAGTGGGTGGCAGATGTCTGACGGACGGTGAAGGCCGTGCCGCTTTAAGAACCTTTTCCATCAGCATTTGGGCTTTGGATGTCATGTGGTAATGACTTGTGTGCTGGAGAGTAACTGCAGGTGATGCTTTTCTATGATAATGGTGATACATTTCTTTTGTTTTGCTTGCCAACAACCAGGCGGAAATAGCCGTGGCCAATCGCGGCTACCTTTTTGATGTCTGCATCGTACTGTATGTCATTGTACTGTATTTTATTATCATGTTGGGCCTGTTGGATCATGGCGTACTCCGCACTGCTACAGTGCTGCCCTCTACACCGCACGCGCCCCCGCTCCAAGCCCCGCCCCACGCTTGACGCGCCGCGGTCCTCATCCAGCACGTGCGCGGACGTTCCCGCCGGCTTACACCGTGCTGCGGAGCCGTGTGTGGCCCGCACCGCGCTGAGCGTACCGTCCCCGCGCGCCCGTGCCGCCCCGCGCTGATGTGACTCCGGGCGTGGCCGGCAGGCGGCGCTCGCGGTCGCGCAGCAAGGAGCGCTCCTCGCGCCGCCGGTCGCCGGTGCGGGCGTCGCGCCGTGAGCGCGACCGCACGCGCCGCGACCGGCTCTCGCGCCGCTCACGCAGCCGGGAGCACAAGCGCAGCCGCAGCCGCAGCCGCAGCAGGTCAGCCGGCGGCTGGGGGCTCGCCGCGGAGGGCAGGGAAGCGTGGGTAGTCGATGCCAGGCGGCAGCCCCAGCCCGCCGTCGCCGCAGGCAGGCCCGCCTTCCGCGCCTGACGGCCGCCGGTCTGGGGTCTGCTGGAGCTGTCGGCTTGTTCTGGGCTTATGTTTGCTCTCTGTTCATTGAAGTGTCGCATTTGACCTGACCCTGGTACATCGTTGCGTTAAATATTGGTGTTTAAATATATATATATATATATATATATATATATATATATATATATATATATTATTTTGCGATAGCAATATTAGTTTTGGAGAATGAACGCGATTTTTATTGGCGGTTGACTGGTGACGTCACGTCTCTCACCACCATAGTTAAAGCAGAGCCATACACCAAAGACGTATGACAGTGCCTGCGCAACCCTCCGCTATCTACGGCCCGTGTTTCGGCCCCCGGAATCGCGTCATTTCCGGTGTGTGCTCAGAGACCGGAAGCGGCGCCGAAGCCGCTCTCGCTCGGGCAGCGCCGCCCGTCGGAAAGAGGAGCGCAAGGAGGACCGCAAGGAGGAGAGGAAGGAGGAGAGCAAGCAGCCCAAGGAGAAGTCGGACGAGGAGTCTGCGTTCGACCCGAGCAAGATCGATAAGGCGAGACTGATGCGGCGCGCGCGCTCGCGCATTATGCTGCGACTGGCGACGGGCCTCTGCTCGCTAAATGCATGAAATATTTCTGCCGTCCAAAGGCACAAACGCTCATGCGCCGTTAGGTAGAATAGCACTTGGACCGTTTTGCCTTGGGACGGCAGGTTTATGGTGGGTGATGCCGCTTGCTGCATCGGTCGGCCCTCAGCGGTCTTTGGCTGGGGTGTGAGCTGCTCTGCGCGTTGATACGTGGAGAGGTTCTGGTTGCGGGTGAGGTTCTGACAGCCGCCTGTCCCCCGGCGTCGCTGTCTCTAGCGTCGAGTTTTAGGGGCGTTGGGGCGCTGCCCTTAGGATTTATGTCGAGGGTGAGCGTGAAAACGTGGCGTCTGTGCTCGTTTTTGAGCGTATCTGGAGATGTTACTTCCGTTGTTTGTATCGAGCCGCGGTGCCTCCCCCCCCCCCCCTTCATACACCTTCGACTTCCTCTGTTTCTTCTGAGCCGTCGCGCCGCCGTCCTGTTTAGACGTCTCTCTCAAGCCCAGGGGGTTCTGTCGTGCGCTCCTCGAGTTCCTGCGTCCTTCCCCACCGCGCCTCCTTCCCCCCGTTTCGTTTTCTATTATTATTCTGAGCTTTGGGATTTCTCTATCCGCGTCCGCACGGCGCGCCGTCCTGGCCTGCGGCGCCGGCAGACTCGGCGCCGTCCGGGGCCCTGCCGCCGGTGCCGCGCGCGGCCGCCCCCTGCACGCGGCACCCGGAGGCTCCGCTGACCGGGCGGCGGCCGCCCCCGCTCCCCAGGAGGCCGAGCAGGCCCGGCTGGAGCTGGAGATGAAGAAGCGCCGCGAGCGGATCGAGAAGTGGCGCGCGGAGCGCAGGGTCAAGGAGATGGAGCAGGTCAAGAAGGACCTGGAGAAGGGCGTCCTGCTGGGTGAGCGCCCGCCTCCAGCGGGAGCGCACAGAGCGCTGCCAGTCTGGGACCGGCGGTGGGACCGGTGGGACCTGTCGGTGGGGCAGCTTTTGGGTCATCACCCGTTAACCAGCGACGGACGGCCGACGGGCTGGCTGGAACGGAGACCAGCGTGCCGCGCCGTTGGGCTCGGATGACCGGCTCCAGCTGCGGCTCCGCGGTCCGTTATCAATGCATGTTAAACCGTGTCCATTGCAAAGTTCCCTGCGCTGGGAATCAGATCGGCGATCGTGCGATGGTCCGGGTCTGACCGGCGGTCGTGCGATGGTCCGGGTCTGACCGGCGACCGTGCGATGGTCCAGGTCTGACCGGCGATCGTGCGATGATCCGGGTCTGACCGGCGATCGTGCGATGATCCGGGTCTGACTGGCGATCGTGAGATGGTCCGGGTCTGACCGGCGATCGTGCGATGATCCGGGTCTGCCCGGCGATCGTGCGATGGCCCGGGTCTGCCCGGCGATCGTGCGATGGTCCGGACCTGACCGGCGATCGTGCGATGGTCCGGGTCTGACCGGCGATCGTGCGATGGTCCGGGTCTGACCGGCGACCGTGCGATGGTCCGGGTCTGCCTGGCGATCGCGCGATGGTCCGGGTCTGCCCGGCGATCGCGCGATGGTCCGGGTCTGACCACCCATCGGCTGCCGGCCGCTCACAGAGAACCTGCAGGTGCCCAAGAAGAAGTGGACGCTGGACGAGGACGAGTCGGACGAGGACGAGCCGCGGCGCGCCGCCCGTCAGGAGGCCGAGAAGAACGGCTCGTCCGAGGGGCCGGCCGTGAAGGACGAGCCGGCCGACCCGACGCCGGCGGACGAGGACGAAGACGAGGTTGACCCGCTCGATGCCTTCATGCAGGTGAGGCGCTGTGAAGTGGGGATACGGCCGAAGTCCTGGAGGCACTGTTTGGGTGCACATGTCATGCGACGTGCCGATTTACGTGTGACTGTGTGTTTGTGTGATTTACGTATGACTTTGATTTACGTGTGATGCGTGAGGATGGGCATCGGCAGGTAGCTCGAAGAAGATGTTTATTTCGGAATTATTTTTTTTATTTCGGAAGTAGAAGCCCGGTGACCGTCACGTGCATCTCTGCGAGCAACGCGTGAAGTTTGAAAGCGATGCCGGCTTCGACGTGCATGGCTCAGCGGCCGCCTACCCTGGCCTGCCGGCGAGAGAGGCCCCAGAGTGCCCCAGAGGCCCAGAGGGCCCGCCCGCGGTCGGTGTTGGCGATCTCCGACAGCAGCTCGTTCACGCGTTGCTGCTGGGGCGTGGATTTCAAATGGCAACGATGCGCGTTATGCTGTTGTGCTTGGCTTAACGTTATGTGCGAGTCGCAAGAGTTGTTGGGGTTGTGGAGTCGTGCTATATGTTATACCAGCTGCGCTGGCGGCCATGCTGGGTCACGCTCGCGTGATCGGTCGCGCTCGCATGACTTGGGTCGGCTCCCTGACCGACTCCAGCACCCTCTCGGTCCGCCCAGTGACTCGGATGGCTTCTCGGCTCGTCGTGACTCCATGACTCGGTCCATCACACGCTCACTCGACCCGCCTCTCCCTCCCCATCCCCCTCCCCACCCCTGCCCCTGCCCCTGCCCCTGCCCCTGCCCCTGCCCCCGCCCCTGCCCCCGCCCCCGCCCCCGCCCCCTCTCTGAGCGCCGGTTCATCTTCTGACCGGCCGCCCCGTCCCGCCGCAGGGCGTGCACGACGAGGTTCGCAAGATCAGCAAGGCGACGCGCGCCGGCGCTGGCCCCGGCCCAGGCGGTGGTGGTGGCGGCGGCGGAGCCGTCCCGGGCGGCGGCGGCGGCGGTGACGCGGCGCCGGGCGCCGGCGGGGCGGAGGCGGCGCACAAGAAGGCGGTGGTGATCAGGGCGGTGAAGGCTCGCGCGGCACCAACCGCCGAGACCAAGGACAAGGGCGAGCTGATGGAGCAGAATCAGGACGGCCTGGAGTACTCGGAAGAGGAGGAGGAGATGGATATACACGAGGCGAATGAGAAGCTGGCGCAAAAAGGTGAGAGGCTCGCATGGACACGCGAGAAGCTCGCGCGGAAAGGCGAAAAGCGAGAGCGAAAGGGTGAGACGCTCATCCAGAGGGGTGAGACGCTCACCCAGTGCGGTGAGAATCTCACCCAGAACGGTGAGAATCTCACCCATAACGGTGAGAATCTCACCCATAACGGTGAGAATCTCACCCAGAAAGGTGAAACGCTCGCCCGTAAATGTGAGAAGCTCGCCCGTACTGGCGATGAGAGGAACAGTGGACGGTGCGAAAGCTCTTCGAGTGCGCAGGGGGCTAGACAGACGTGCAGAGCGACGGCCTGGGGACAGCGGCGAGCCCAGAAAGGTGAGGCGGACGGCAGAGGAGGCCATGCCGTTGAGGAGCGCGTCTCTGAACGGCGCGTGCCCGGCTGCTCGGTCGCGCAGGTGTTTTGCGCGCTTTGACGGTGTCGTGCGCTCCGCGTGTCAATCGGCGGGCTATTTCAGTGGAGAGAGCTGAACGGGTCGTGGCATAAGTGATGCCCAGTCGTGCGATGCACGTGTAAAGGAGTCTAATGAATTCGACCGTCGTACGTGTATGCTCCGCTTGTGGTTGAACGTTTTCCTCGCGAAGTTAAAACGAGCTACGCAAAGGGTCGGCCTCTGTTCGCTCGGGGCAAAAAATCATACGCATGTGGCGAACGAAAGTGATCGTGTATTAGAGTGCCCTTAGGCGCGCCTGATTTTCCTTCGTTCTGAGTTTTGAACACCATCTGTTTCTGTGTGAAGCCATTTGTAGCTTTGTAGCAACGAAACTTCCATGCCAGACGTGAATATCGCGTCTGGATTTCAACTTTGAACGTCAAACGGCATTGTCCAACCTTTGCAGGCAAGAAGGAGCTGATGAAGATCGACCACAACAAGATCGTGTACCAGCCATTCCGCAAGAATTTCTGGGTGGAGGTGCCTGAGCTGAAGGCCATGACCCCCAGCGAGGTGGACGCCTACCGCGCAGTGAGCACGGGGCCAGGGGCGATGGGGTTGTCGGACCCGAGACGCCACGAGTGAAGAAGATTGCTGACGGGGGGGGGGGGGGGGGGAGGTGCTGGTTCTACTTCACAGGAGCATTGCCCGTGTTGGATATGTTGAGACTAGCCCCTCTCTAGTCCCCTCTTTCCGGAGGGGACATTCTGGAAGAGGAACCAAAGACGGAACTGGTCGCCGCCGTCGCCGGGGCGGCGGCGGCGCGCGTGGTCCTGCGAACCTCGTGAACCTCGTGAAACTCAGGAACAACTAGTGCTTTGGTGTGACAAACGACTCTTGACATCGCATGGCTCTATTACGCTCGCCCTATTGAAAGTAATCCTGCCGCTAGACGACATTTTGTCCCAAGCCGCTGGCACAGCCTGACCTGCCCTCGTACCATGGCCTGAGCATGACCACCTGGTGGCTGGGGTGCCGGTAGTGTAGTGGTTAGCGCGTCTGCGTCAACCACTGCGCGTCTGGGAAGCCAGAGGTACGGGGTTCGGTTCCCCGCGGTGCCCGCCCTTCCTGCCAGGGTGAGAGGCAGGCGACGCCATATAGCTTCAGCAGCTGAGTGCGTCGTAAAGCCCCAACGACACACGCGACCACGTGGTGCCGCACATCCGCGTCGGCTCCTGTTTCCTGCTCCTGTTACCTGTTGTCATTCACGTGGGGTGTCTCATGCGAGCCGGGCGCGGAGCGTGCGCGTTGAATGCTCCGACGCGCCCCCAGGAGCTGGAGGGTGTCAAGGTCAAGGGCAAGGAGGTGCCGAAGCCGATCAAGACGTGGTCGCAGGCCGGTCTCAGCAAGAAGATGATGGACATCCTGAAGAAGAACAACTACGAGAAGCCGACGCCGATCCAGGCCCAGGGCATCCCCATCATCCTGGCGGGTAGGGTGCGGGCCGTCGGAGCGATCGGCTCTGGGGACCGCCGCGTCCTACAGGGGGTTCTCAAACCGGCCGGCGGCTGATGTCCTCCGCCAGCACGGGTTGTGAGGCACTGGGCTGCCGCGGTCTGTGCCCGTGTGGGTAGCTCCTGGACTGGCGCCTCAGCGCTCGCCGGTCCTAGGTCGTGCCGAGCTGGGCGTTGCGTCGGAGTTGCCGACTTGGAGTTGCTACATGACATACATCAGCGAGTGCAACTTTTGTCGAAACGCGTCAGTTGTTTGGAGGAACTGGCGTCATTTCCTGTTCAGACTGCGTCATTGCGACGGGCTGCTGCACGGCTCGATATGCCGGCTCTCTTGCGTGAGAATGGACTGCAAGGCCGATGTCCGTGTCGATTCGTGTAGTTGGTAGCCGTGTGCACGCTTGGACAACTCGATTGGTCCGTCGTTGGAGCCGTCGATGCCGATTGGCTTCCGTGTTAGTGTCGGCACATCTGATTTCTCCTTGGTCAGTCCTGGTTGATGCCGATTGGCTCCCGTGTCAGCGTCGGCACATTCGATCGGTCCGTCGCCGGCTTTGGTGTATACCGATTGGCTGCGATGTCAGTATGAACGCATCCCATTCGTCCTTGGGCGGTGGTCGCCGACACTGATTGGCTGCCGTGTCCATAGGCCGTGACATGATTGGCGTGGCCAAGACGGGCTCTGGCAAGACGCTGGCGTTCGTGCTGCCAATGATGCGGCACATAGCCGACCAGCCGGAGCTGCTGGACACGGACGGGCCTATCGGTGAGTGCACTCCTCCGAGGGGTCAACCCGAGGCGGAGGCAAGGGTCGACCCCTTCCCCGGCCGGCGCCAGGGGAGGGACGGAGTCCATGTACTGGACGCCGGCAGCACCGCCTCTGTGTTGCTGCCATTAGGGGACGCCGCCCAGGCGCCCAGTTTGTGGGGTAGCCGGGGCATCAACCCCGGCTGCCGTGCTGACGGCCGGGGCCCCGCCAGCACGCGCTTATTAGGAACGGCTCAAGGATGTCCAGGTGTTCTATTAAACTTGCAAGAGAATGCTCCTCGAGCCATGTGGCGACGTGCGCGATGGGAGGTACCGATGTACTTTGCTTGATGGAAAAAGGCCTCGCATCCCCGTCCCCTTGTTCACGCCAATAATAGCTGCCCAGCCTACCACTTTCTCAGCGAAGTAATGCTTCGACATCCGTTAGGCAGGTAGTAACCCTGGTAGGGCACGTGACCACCGAACTGGTTCCCTACTGGATTTGGAATGGGCTTCCGTTTGTCAGTGATGAACAAATCGGTATGCATGTGTCAATGTTACGGTTCAAGTTCAGCAATAGTTTAGCCGTAGCTCGCCTGTGAATGCCAGGGGCAATGGAACAGCGCCAACATCACACGCTCTCTGCGTGCCAGTCTGGACATACCGTTCCGATAAACTCTGCAGAAAACGGGACTTTCGACAGCGACCGCTCCATTTGGGATGTTTTCTTTTTCTCACTGGCTGAAGCTCATTAAATTGGGGTCAAACATAACGCTATCGATGCAGCCCCATGCCGCCGCCTGCCACTAATCGCCGCCGACGGGGCGCGTTTGTAGCGTGGTCCTATCAGCCATCCAGCCTGTGACGTCAGCCGAGCGTGACGTCATTGGTGACGTCATCGGTGACGTGAGCCTCCGCCGGCAGCCATCATCATGGCGCCGACCCGGGAGCTGTGCCTGCAGATCGGAAAGGAGTGTCGCAAGTTCGCCCGGCCGCTCGGCATCCGCGCCGTCTGCGTGTACGGCGGCACCGGTCAGTGGAGGGCGCAGGGGTCAGGGCAGGGGGCGGACTGCAGGGGAGGGGACAGGGACGAGGGTCAGTGGAGGGCGCAGGGGTCAGGGCAGGGGGCGGACTGCAGGGGAGGGGACGGGGACGAGGGTCAGTGGAGGGCGCAGGGGTCAGGGCAGGGGGCGGACTGCAGGTGAGGGGACGGGGACGAGGGTCAGTGGAGGGCACAGGGGTCAGGGCAGGGGACGGACTGCAGGGGAGGGGACGGGGACGAGGGTCAGTGGAGGGTACAGGGGTCAGGGCAGGGGACGGGGCGAGGGTCGGGGAAGGGGGCGAGGGTCAGTGGAGGGCGCAGGGGTCAGGGCAGGGGACGGACTGCAGGGGAGGGGACGGGGCGAGGGGAGGTGGCGACGGTCAGAGAAGGGGACGAGGGTCAGGGAACGGGACGGGGTCAGTCGTGGGTTGGATGTCGGGGACACGCATTGCGACGGCCAATGCGTTATGAAATGGCCAGAACGATGAAGAACTTTGCTGTCTAAGTGTTCGTGAACTTTTCAGCTTTTTCACGTGAACACTTTAAGTGTTTGTGAACTGGCAGGCGCTTCTCCTCGCCGGCCTCCCTTCCTCCTTCCCCCCCCCCCTCCTCCCTCCCCTCCTCCCCGGCCTCCCTCCAGGCAGGCGCTGCTCCTCGCCGACCTCCCCTCCTCCTTCCCCTCCGTTCTCCCTCCCCTCCTTCCCGGCCTCCCTCCAGGCAGGCGCTGCTCCTCGCTGACCTTCCTTCCTCCTTCCCCTCCCTTTTCCCTCCCTCCTCCCCGGCCTCCCTCCAGGCAGGCGCTGCTCCTCGCCGGCCTCCCTTCCTCCTCCCCCTCCCTTCTCCCTCCCCTCCTTCCCGGCCTCCCTCCAGGCAGGCGCTGCTCCTCGCTGACCTCCCTTCCTCCTTCCCCTTCCCTTCTCCCTCCCCTCCTGCCCGGCCTGCCTGCCTCGCCGGTGTGACCGCACCGCTGCGCGCGTGACGCCGGGCCGCCGGGCGGCCGCGCGTCGCCCACAGGCATCAGCGAGCAGATCGCCGAACTGAAGCGCGGCGCCGAGATCATCGTGTGCACGCCCGGGCGGATGATCGACATGCTGGCGGCCAACTCGGGCCGCGTCACCAACCTCGTCCGCGTCACCTACATCGTGCTGGACGAGGCCGACCGCATGTTCGACATGGGCTTCGAGCCGCAGGTGGGCGGGCGGAAGGCGCGGGGTGGGTGGCTTGCGACGGAGAGGACGCGGGTTCGAGCCTCAGTGCCGGCTGTTTTTTGTCGGGGGACGCGACGTAGGTGGTGCTGGGGTTACAGATCGTAGCGGGTGCCGGACGGAATACGGGTTGAGCAGGCTGGTATTTTGTCATGCTGGTGGAGTTGTAAACATTCACATGACTAATGTGTGTCCCAAGAGCAGGATGTTGTGGACGATTGTGTCCACTTATACACACACTCACCCACACACGCACGCACGCACGCACACGCTCACGTAGCAGGGCCCTCCCCTCCCCTCCCCCAGATGACCCGGCGGGTGTCTGTTGTGTGGAGGTCGGCCATCTCTTCCCCTCGTGCCGGCGCTGCCACCTGTCTTTCTGTGTCCCTGATGTCTGGCTCGGCGGGCCGCCGCCGTCTGCCGGCGGCAGTAGCGGCGTCAAAATACGCCGCGGCTCTCAGTGTGCCGCTGGCTACGGACTGGGCTGGTTACAACCGGTTCTGTCCGGTTCGCACAGGTGATGCGGATCATCGACAACGTGCGCCCAGACCGGCAGTGTGTGCTGTTTAGTGCCACATTCCCGCGGCAGATGGAAGCACTGGCGCGCCGCATCCTTCTTAAGCCTGTCGAAGTACAAGTTGGCGGCAAGAGTATCGTGTGCAAGGATGTTGAGCAGCACATAGTAAGCACCGGACTGTTGTAAATGTCTTTTTGCGAGTCTCGCTTGGCCAGATCGGACGAGGGGCTACGGAGTCGTGCTGGGATGCGCATCAACGCTCGCTACATGGAGGTGTAACGAGACACGCCTGCCGACGAAAATGTTGCATGGTCTTAGCTATTTAGCCGGCTGTGTGCTGCGTTTCAGGGACGGGGTATTCATGAAGTTTGAGCAAAGTTGGGCCGATATTGTATTTTGCTAAGGCTTGGTGCGTGCCAAGTTTCTGTGGTTCCAGACCTAGCGCATAGATGCGGCTGCCGCATAGATTTTTCTTCTCCGGCATTTGCGCTTACTTTGATCGGTAATGTGTGTAGCCTGCTATGGGCTGTGTGTGTGTGTGTGTGTGTGTGTGTGTGTGTGTGTGTGTGTGTGTGTGTGTGTGTGTGTGTGTGTGTGTGTGTGTGTGGTGTGTGTGCGTGCGTGCGGTGCGTGCGTGCGTGCGTGCGTGCGTGCGTGCGTGCGTGCGTGCGTGCGTGCGTGCGTGCGTGCGTGCGTGCGTGCGTGCGTGCGTGCGTGCGTGCGTGCGTGCGTGCGTGCGTGCGTGCGTGCGTGCGTGCGTGCGTGCGTGTGTCTGTAGTCCCTGGGAGATGCTGCTCTTTCCGTGTGTTGGACGAGCAGGTGTCCGTGTGTTCCAACAACCCTGAGTTGGCGTGTGGCACGAGCCGCTTTCGGTACCGTGGACGAGTGCTCACGGTTTGAAAGAGCAGGGGTTCTGCTGGGCTCGAGACGGCTCACTTCTTTCCGCGGGCAAGCCGACGCCGCTGTATTGGACGAACCTGGTGGGCGTTGCAGACGAGTCTCCTCTGTGGAAGACGAGCCTCGTCTGGATGTTGTGCGACCCTGAACTGTTGGTGGATGAGCCCGTCTCTGTGTTGGACGAACCCCGTCTGTGTTGGACGAGCCACGTCTTTGTTGTACGAGCCGCGTCGTTGTTGGACGAGCCCCGTCTTTGTTGGAGGAGCCACGGCATTGTTTGACGAGCCACGCCGTTGTTGGACGCTCGCCGTCGGTGATGGACGAGCCCCCGTCACTGTTGGACGGGCCTAGTTTATGTGTTGGACGAGCCCCATCCTTGCGTTGGAGGAGGCTCCTCGGCACGTTCGACGAGCGTGGAGTGTGTGCTGCGGTTCTCACTGATGCCGTGTTGGGCGAGCCTCCGCCGGTGCCCGCGCTGACGCCGGCTGCCGACTTCCAGGTGATCCTGGACGAGGCGCAGAAATTCTTCAAACTGCTGGAGCTGCTGGGCACCAGCGCCCAGCAGGAGAGCACGCTCATCTTCGTGGACAAGCAGGAGGCGGCAGGTGGGTGGTGTCTCGCTGGTGATTGGGGGAGGGGGGGGGGGGGGGGGGGGGGTGCCTGCCGCGACGCCGGTGGAGTGGGCGACCCAGCCGCTCCAGCACGGACGCGGCGGCCGGCCGGAGTCCAGGTGTCTGACGAAGGCCAGCGGCGGCGCGGCGACGCCGCAGCGCCGAGCGGCAGCCGACGAGCCAGCCCCGCCGGGCCGTGTCCCCGAGCAGGAGTCGGGCCGCGTTGGCAGGCTTTTCGTTGGAGCGAACACATAAGCCTACCCTGTTCCAGCGCCTGGCCGCGGGCCTGGAGGTGAGCCGGCCGTGGCGGCGGCGGCGCGCAGCAAGGGCTGGTCACGAGCAGTCCGTGCCGGCGCGGCTGCGCTGTCCGATTGGGTGCGCTTCAGTGGTCCTCGCGCGTCACACGGAGAGGAAAGCTTGCTTGCGCTGTGGCCGCGCCCATTGGCAGCCGCGTGCTGTGCTGGGGGGGGGGGGGGGGGGCTGTTGGCGGGGACCGGAACTGGTGCCGTAGAGTCTCAGTAGAGTCTCCGCCAGCGTAGAGTCTCAGCGCCGACCCTCTCGGTGCCGTACCGAGTTCTCAGCTCCACGTGCTCTCGCGCGTGCGATCGGCTTCTCGCGGCAGGCTGTCATGGCGGCCACGGCCGCGTGCTGAGCTCCACGCTGGACGGCTAGCTGCCGGCCGGCGGCGATCACGTGACCGGGCGCCGGTCACGTGATCGTCCTCGTCCCGGGCGAGCTCCGTCACGTGACCGCCGGCGGCGCGCGCTGCCGGAGGCGCCCCACACTCCTCCCGCTCGTGAGCTCCGACGGCCGCAGGCTCTGGCCCGTCGGCCTCGTCTGCGATAGTTCTCAGGTGGTTGTCGTCGACCTCGTCTTCGATAGTTCTCAGTCGGTTATCACCTCGTCCGCAACAGTTGTTGGTCGTTCCCTCGTCTGCGATAGTTCTCAGGTGGTTTTTACCTCGTCTGCGATAGTTTTCAGTTGGTCATCATCTCGTCTGCGATAGTTCTCAGTTGGTAATCACTTCGTCGGCGATCGTTTTCATTTGGTTGTCACCTCGCCTGCGATAGTTCTCAGGTGGCTGTCGGTCTCGTCTGCGATAGTTCTCAGTTGGTTGTCGTCGGGCTCGTCTTCGATAGTTCTCAGTCGGTTATCACCTCGTCCGCAGCAGTTGTTGGTCGTTCCCTCGTCTGCGATAATTCTCAGGTGGTTGTCACCGCGTCTGCAACAGTTCTCGGCTGTCACATCGTCTGCAACCGTGCTCGGTTGTCACATCGTCTGCGAAAGTTCTCAGTTGGTCGTCACCTGGGCCGGCTCCTTTCAGCGCGCCCTGGAACCCAAATCGTCATCAGCGGTCGGTTCTCGTCGCCGTCAGCTCTGACCGCGGCGTTCTTCGCCGTGCAGGCGAAGTGTCTCAGCGGCCTGGTGTGCATCGGCGTGTGGTGCCGCTGCCGCCCGTGCGCGTGCTGGCGTGTGGCCAGCCGACCGCTTGGGCCGCTGGTGCTTCACAGGGGGCTGTGCTACGACGTGCACCTGCAGCCTTTTGCACGTTGAGGAAGGTTCTCGCTAGTACGCGTTCTCGCCGGCGCTGCGGCCGCCGCCGGGGCTGTCCAGTCGCTCCGGTGTCGCCCATACGGGCGCGATTAACGACGACGCCCGTCGATGTGCCCCGCCCCGGGACTCGAACCAGTGTCCATTTGTCGCCGGTAGCGGCGGCCGTGTTCTCACGCCCCGCCCCGCCCCGCCCCGCCCCGCCCCACCGCGCCCCGCCGCGCCCCGCCCGGCCGGCCGGTCCGTTGGTCGCCGCGCCGTCGGAAGCCAGGCGTTTCCGAGCGCCGTCCTCTCCGCTGCCGCCGGTTGTGTCCGGTCCATCGGCGGCGGCTGACTGGGAGAGACGAGGCTGGTGAGCCGGGCAGACGGGCGGCTGGGAGAGACGAGGCCGGTGAGCCGGGCAGACGGGCGGCTGGCAGAGACGAGGCCGGTGAGCCGGGCAGGAGACGACTGGCAGAGACGAGGCCGGTGATCCGGGCAGAAGACGGCTGGGAGAGACGAGCTTGGTTGTGTTAGAGACCGGCGTGGCTGAGTCCAGCGGGGGAGGTTGCGTTGTGTGCGAGCGTTTTTCCGCATACAGTGTCCAAAGTATACCCAAGGAATCATCGTAAGGTGCAGTTTTTGTTGAAACAATCTCAGTTTTGCGAATAACGTTCTTTGATCCGTTAAGTTCTCGATTTCTTCGGCCGTTTGTATGGCATCCGCTCCTTTGAAATGTGCCTGCACTTTACCTGACTGTTGAAACATCGGTCCGAAATTGTCTCCCGGCGTTTTTGCCAGATGACGCCGCGAGGTGTTCACGTGCCGTGCAGCGCTCGGGTGCCGACCGACCGCCGCGGGCCGGGCTGACCCCGGCCGGCTGTCAGCTGACCCTTCCGCTCCTCTCGGACCAGCCAGCGCGCCCGGTCTGGAGCGGTCGCACGGTGTCCTTTGGTGATGGCCCTGGATGACGTGACCCGCCGTCTCCGCCGTCTCCGGAGGCCTCGGACGCGGCTGACCCGCCGTCTCCGCCGTCTCCGGAGGCCTCGGACGCGGCTGGCCCGCCGTCTCCGCCGTCTCCGGAGGCCTCGGACGCGGCTGACCCGCCGTCTCCGCTGTCCCCGGAGGCCTCGGACGCGGCTGATCCGGCTGACCCGGTGTTCCCCGCCTGCAGATGACCTGCTCCGTGACCTGATGAAGGCCATGTACCCCTGCATGGCCTTGCACGGCGGCATTGACCAATTTGACCGCGACTCCACCATCAATGACTTCAAGAGCGGCAAGGTCAACCTGCTGGTATGTGAAGGAGGGGGCAAGGGGGGGGGGGAGCCCGCTCGGGCGCCGGGGACAAAAAGATCACGAACGCCGGGCATGTGACTACTGTTGCGCGCTTTGGCGCTCTGGCGCTTTGCGCTAACGGCCAAATCTTGTAATCAGCAAACCCTGGAGAAGAGAAGCGCACATGTTGCTCTTACAATTTAAGTTTGGTTTTCGTTGTGCGCGTGTAGTGTGTCGGAGCCGTCCGTAGAGCGACGAGCCAATTCACCAGCTCCGTCAGCACTTGTGTGACGTCACGCTACGTCTGTGGTCCATCGTCTCAGCGCCACTTTGATGACGCCGCCGATCTCGCTGACCGTTCACTGCTGACCCCGCTGACCCGTCAGTGCCACCGTCAGTGTGGTGACCATGCTTGCTGACCGCCAGTGACCCCTACTGACCTCTGGCTGTTGACCGCTGCTTCTGGCGACCGTAGTCGGTGCGTCTAAAAATCCGCAGTCCTAGCAAACGACCCCCAACGACCCTTATGACCGCTGCTGACCTCGGTGACCCCTGGTGACCCTATCGCCGTCAGATCGCCACCTCCGTGGCGGCGCGAGGTCTGGATGTGAAGCACCTGACCATGGTGATCAACTACGACTGCCCCAACCACTACGAGGACTACGTGCACCGATGCGGCCGCACCGGCAGGTCAGCCCCTCCCCTCCCCTCTGGGGAGGCGCACGCTTGCACGGCCCCGGGCCCGGCCTCGTGAGGCGAGACCACGCACGTGCTCGCGGGGGCCGCGCTGCAGAGGAGCTCGGACGGAGAGCGGCGGGCGCTGCTTCGGCTTTTTACTTGGAGGCGCTGGCGAATGCGATTTCGGTCGTGGGGGCGCGGAACGTGCAGGCTATTTCAAGGTCGTCCGAGCGTGCACGCGGCCGTAAAAAACGTCACACGAATGCTGACACGTCGTTGGCCGTTTAGCGGCCGCGGCCACGACAAGTATTTTCATCAAGCTCTTCGTGTCAGGCGTACGCCAGCGCTTTTCTGATATCCGCGGACTTCAGCTGGCCCTTGACCAGGGTGAGGTGTTTCATGCAGGTTTCGAGCAGGATGTACGTTTTTTGGTACATGATGCAGGAGCTCAGGCAGCGGCACGATTTATGATGAAAGTAAGGCTAGGAATCAAATGACTTAGGAATAGCGCCAGTACAGAGCATGTGCGTGCAACCAAACAGAACAAAATCACTAATGGATATCAAAGATCACCGTGTGAAGGGTTAAGATCGGTTCTTGAGTAAAGCCGCGGATGCCTTGTAACTGACACGTGTAAGCGGTGGCCTACTATGGTTTTTCATGCCTTTTGTCCAACACGTTTGAGCTACCTGTGTGATAACTTGGACCTGGGGCCCGGGCTGTTTTTTTTTTCAAGTGCGACTTCGCCACAGCTGCCTTCAAGTCGATGCAAACACGTGGTGTCGCGGGTGGAGTCCTTGTATTTTTGGTGCCAGTGGTGGGGTTGGCGAGGGCTACGTGGAAAGGTAGCAAGTGCACATGTATTTCTTCTTTAACCGAGTTACATTCTCTTGCTTTTCGTTCGAGATTGTACTGACTGAGCATGTCGCATCTGGTGATCTCACTCGATTCACACATTTTCATTTGTGCATGGTTTGCTGCAAGTACCAAGCCAGTCGCCATTGATTGGTCCTGCACGAGATCAGACCTTCAGCTGCGCTTGCTCAGCGGAATCCTAGTTTCTTCGGGTCATCTGGGAATGGCTCGGAGGGTTATCAAGCAGCGTCACTTTTCTCCGGGCAACGATGAGCTAGATAAATTGCACAAACCTGGGTCCGGACAAGACGGCGAATGTGATACATTTAATGAGTGAGGATATAAGTGGGCAAAGTGCTGTTTTTAAAGGGAGTATTCCTCGCAGAGGTCGCAGAGTGCTTCCTGCGTCCTGAAATCCGTGGCTGATAAGACTTCAAGTCAAGACAATACAACACAAACTTAAATAAAGATTTGTAACTGTGAAGCTAGTCGCAGCGCCATGCTACGATGCCAGTTTACTGTCGTTACGCAGGAAAGTGAGTTTGTAATGCTTCAGGCATACCATAACCTGAAACCTGACAGGGTGTAATGGCCTAGTGGTTAGCGCCTCCCTCTCGCACGTGCGAGCCCGGGTTCGAATCCCGTTCATGCCTCGGCCTTTGGCTGAACTATGACCACTGAGGTCGCTGGCGCTCCACACACTGAAAGAGTACAGTTGAAGCTCATCGGATGATGTGTACCAATATGCCAGTTTTATCTCTGAAACATTTTTTGGGATTCATGGCGTTCTCAGCTTTTCGTTTTGAGGTTATTCGGGGTTAGATGGCGTGATCGGAACTGTCGTTGCACATGCACGACAGTTCTGACAGACACGACAGTCAGTATCTCGCCGAAGACATCATAACAGACTGGATCTTGACAGTTATGTCAGGACGCTAACAATACATCGTCATTGGTCGCGATGTCTAGAGAGACGGTGCGCTGGGCATTTCGCCGGCCGCCACATAGTAGGGGCATGGTTGTTTGTCGACTTTGGTCGGTCTCAGCACCACCTCTCAGTCTTCAAGTCACGCCGCGGCCAACTCAATGAGGTGAGAATCGCGGATGTGGGGTTTCACTGGTCTGTCCTGTCCATCAATACCAGATACCTGCGCCAATGTCAGCGTGCGCTTCCCTTATCCATATCCATATCCATATCCATATCCATATCCATATCCGTATCCTGACCATCCCTGAATCCCGCGCGTTGGGAATTCGCCGTGACGTGGCGCGTCGCCAGCATCAGGTCAGCTGACCTGACCTGATGCGACGGCGCTGCGAGCGGCCGCGCCGTCGCCGCCGCGGTGAGCGACGGTCGACTAGGACACGTCGAGGCCCCAGCGGAAGCCGCCCTCGTAGCTCCAGGCGCTGTCGAAGCGGACCAGGCGCACGCTCATGACAAGGTCGTCGGAGTTCCGCGGCCCGTCATACTGGACGGCGAGCGGGCTCGGGTCGGTGACCTCCAGCAGCGGCGCGCTCGCGTTACCGGCGTAAAGGCGCACCTGCCCGCCGGCGCCGAAGCGCACGCGGAAGTGGGTCAGCATGGTGGACGAGCTGACGTCGGCCGGCGCCGCCGCGCTGCCGAGGACGGTCTGTCCGTCACGTTCCGTGCGGCGCGTGACCGTCACGACGGGCTCCGATGACGTGGTGATGGTGACGATGTACGACTGGGCGGCGTGCCATTCGCGGGAGCTGGTGGCGTACCATTGACACGTGGTGGCGCTTCGGCAGTCGAACTTGGACGTGAAGGGCGGCTCGGACCGGAAACGCAGCATCGCTGATTTTCTGCCGGGGCGACGCGGTGGTGAACACGTGCGAGGGCGGGGGCGAGGGTGAGGGTGAGGGTGAGGGTGAGGGTGAGGGTGAGGGTGAGGCGTGAAGGGCGAGGGCGAGGGAGGCGAGGGCGAGGGCGAGGGCGAGGGCGAGGGTGAGGGCGAGAGCGTGATCGAGAGCAAGAGCGGGAGCGAGCTTGGAAACGGAAGTGGAAGCGAGGGTGAGAGTGAGCGACGGATTCTCATCCTAAAGCGGATCAGTAGAAATTGTTCCTGAATATTAATTTCTCGGATAGTTTTACTTCTGGGAGGGAACGGTTGGTGTACATAGCACCATATGGCTTTTCATTGCTGGGCCACGACAGCGACCTGGGAAGTGCTGTTATGTCAACAGTTTCATGTGTACTCTGCAATCATCCTGTATAGTAAATCATTTAAGATGTCCACGAAAATATTGTGTGATAAAACAGCTAGCTTGCAAAATCATTCGAATATGAATGTCACAATCTTTACAGGCTCGGACCTTAATCCTACGGGGATTGCGCGGAACAGCGACCATTGCTTTCAAAGAACTTTGGTTGAACATAGATAGGACAGTAGTAACGGCCTTATTCCTCAGAGAAAGACCAGGAGAAGAGAGATAGAGATGGGTTGATATTTCGGCAACATATCGTTATCGAAACAATAGCAGAATTTAATTCAAAATCGCCGAAGCGAATTTAAAAGGCAAGTTTGAATTCACCTTTGCTATTATTTCGATAAAGGCATATTTCTGAAATATCAACCCATCTGTATCTCCATTCTCCTGGTTTTTCTCCGAGGAATGAGGCTAACTACTACTGTCTTATCGATGTGCATAATGCTCCCCGCAAATGCACTGAACAACTTACGTAAATTTGGTTTTACAAGTTTTAACGACCGGGCTGGATATCACCTGGCCCATGCAATAAATTTGTAGGAAAAAATGGCGGGTCAGAAAGGCAGCGTTGCAATGTTACCGCATGACGTCACGACGAATATAGCTCGTCACAAACAGGATGCTGCGCGGCACAGCACAGATGCTGCGCGGCACAGCACAGCATGAGAACAGGCACAGCGTCCTGTTTGTGCGCTCTGCCTCTTTCGAATCACATCACGTTTATGATGTTTTGTAGGATAGCATATCTTGTCTTATGTTCATATGATGTTGCAATATGTCATGCTTACAACCCACGTACTTTTCTCGAAACCAAACCTGGGGCAGCGGTCGGCGGCGCCATCTTACTTTGGGAGGGCGTAGACACGACCACGGGACCAATCTTCTATCCAGGGGTCCACCACGTCCTTGGGGAACTTCCAGTGTGCCAGGGACGTCGTGCGTAGGCCGATGTAGCGGGCTGTGAATGGCTTGGGGTCCTGCCAGCTCAGGTAGGGTTCACGTTCGCCTCGGGAGAAACGTATCCTGCCGTCACACCATCGCGCGCTGAACTGGAGATAATTCTGGCGGCTCAGGACCTTGCCTGAGTACGTGGCGAAGGTGTTGACTTTGTCTCCCTTCGACATCCGCTTTCCAAGACTTTTCGTGTTGTTGTGGTAACCGATGCGGAAGTAGTAGCTGTCTTCGCGAATAGGGTAGGCATCGGTGACCTGTAAGTACAGGTCGACGCGGACACGGGCTTTGAATTCTATGGAGCAGGTGTCGTTGACCAGTTTCTTGTACACCCAGTGTTCGCCGTCGGTGGTGAGCTTGATGTCGGCCTCTGCACAGAGCGTGGTGCTGTACTCCCATGTTCCGGGTGCGCAGACGCACTTGTTGGACGAGCACTGTGTGCCGCCAGTGACGTGGTACCGGCACTGGCTGTGCTCCCGACACGGCTCGCCCAGCTTGCGCAGGCAAATGTCGTCCCGGCAGCGGCCGCCCTCCGTGCAGATGCTGTCAGTCCACAGTCTGTTTTCGGACTCTTGGCGGAGGTCGGACACGATGTCATACCAGGTCCAGCCGTCGGCGCCGGTGACGTAGTAGTCGTAGTGGTCGCAGACGGTGGCGGTGAAGATCTCGCAGACGGCGTCCACCCGGTGGTGGTTGAAGCTGCGGCAGTCACCACGCTGCAGGCAGACCAGCTGACACTGGGCGGCCGAGATGTCCGGGACCGTCTCGGCGACGGAGACGCCCGCCAGGCGGCGGTTCTGACCGCGGCGGGACGAGGCCCAGTGGCCTTGGCCCGGGGTCACCAGGGTCAGGACGAGCACCGCCAGGCTGGCGGGCCCCATGGCGTCGACTGACAAGGCCGCACCTGACGCTCCGAGGCGATTGGCCGGCTCCAAGGAGGGCAGGCCCTCTTTCGCTCCATCACCAGCGGATAGCTGGTGACGTCAGGCATGACGTCAGCCATCCTGACGTCAGGCATGGCCCGGCGCCGGTGGACACTATCTGGTCACATACATCACTCAGATGACCCATGGCCGCCGGGCGTGACAGCCTTGGGGGCGGGCCCCGGCACAGGAACCCGCGCCCGTGCGCCCCCGCGCCGCCGGCAGCGGCGGGATTAATGGCCGCGTGGTGTGTCGGTCGCCATGGCACACGCGCGTGCATGCGCGCGTTGCCATGGCGACCGACTAGCTCATTTGGTCGGCGGTGGTGAGGCCTAGCATGAGATTGCCTGGAACCCACGTGGCGTGATGGACTGTCTTATCAGCTGTATTGGCGCGGTGAAGTCTTCTCGAGATGCTCGTGGGGTCGATGTTTGCGCAGGCCCGATTTGAGCGGAGTTCCATGAGCAGAAATAAGATTGACCGATCTGTCCGAGCCGCGGGCAATAGAGGGATGTATATGCCTACATATATACATATGCATACATATTCATATCTAGGCATACACAAACACACACACACACACACACACACACACACACACACACACACACACACACACACACACACACACACACACACACACACACACACACACACACACACACGCACGCACGCACGCACGCACGCACGCACGCCGCACGCGCACGCACACGCACACGCACACGCACACACACACGTGTATATATATATATATATATATATATATATATATATATATATATATATATATATATATATATATATTTCAGCGCAAGATATTTTGTACGGCATGTGATTTTGTGAATGAAGCGATTCCCACCGGGTGCAAGCAAAAAGTCCGTAAGTTTCCGCTTCTGTAGTATTACGGGAAGACCACTAACGTGTGTTAAGCCATGGTACATGTCGAATGTAGATATAAAACAGTTGTTGAGAAAATGTGGTGACACTTGACGCTTTAAGCTGTGCTCGTAATTATAGTTGGACGTGGTTAAATGTACAAATATTATCACAAGCCGCGCTTCTCGTGAAATGAATTCTTTTCGATCTGCGCGGATTATGTCCGTAAGATATACCAGACTGAAATAAGTACTCTCTTATATTTCTTCGTTTAACTTGTATTATTCGAATCTCCACATCCTATCACCCGATGCAGGACGAGGTTAAGGGATTTTTGTTGTCTTATCTAGTAGGTGTGCGTTACCGTACGGCCGCCCCAATACTGGTGTACGTCGACATTCTGGCATATGCGTAGGTTCTCCTTAAAGGAAGCGTTCCACGTTTGTTTGGGGTTTTGAACTGAAATGCCATCTTGAAGACCTTTCGGTGCCGTTCATAAGCCCATGTAGTTTATGAGCTACGTGCCGGCTAAAAATGAGACTGTGTGGCGGGGACAGTACTTCCGTCATCCTGGGCATTCATAGCGTTTTAATAACGCTCTTCACATCTTGAATTTCTATAAGCCAAGCGGTTATCAAGGCCAAGAAGGATATAATTGTCGAGACGTTCAGTGTCTGGCGTTCGTGAGCGCGATCTACAGATTAAACGGCCGTCAACTGGCTCTCAGTCAGTGTAAGCAAGCAAGCAAGGTACGCAAGGACACCAATGTGGCAAGGTACGATGACGCAATCAAACCGTGGCGTATTGAGGAGCATATTCACGAAACAGAGAATTGAGCTGTCTAGAACAGTCTTTTCCACCCAAAAACTATACAAATAGTATCAGCGAGCTTGTTTCATTATATTTGATGCTCGCTGTAATATGTTCAAATGTGAGGACATTCGGGTGTAATTGAATATAACGGGTATACTTAATTGAATAAAACTGTTATAATTGAATTGAATATAACTTATGATTAATGCAGTGCAACTGGTTTGATTATAACTAGTATAACTGAGTTCGTGGTGTTGCCATTATACAGCGTATTTGCGGAGCTTTCTCGAAGCTGGACGAGTGGGAGTATCCCACCTCTTTTGCACTTACCACGCATAGTAAGATCGCACTGGTCCGATTTGATCGGAAATGACACTTCTTTTCAAAGTCCCTCCAGAAAACTCAGAAATTTGAGTTGAGCTAGTCACTTTGATGGGATAAATGTCATTGGACTCCTTCCCTCACCACTATAGAATTAGAAAGTTTTATGCCACGCGGCAGACTGCTTCCGCTGTCACCCTCGTGTGCGAGTCTGCTTCGTTAACCAGTGCTTCGCGGATGGAATAAATGTTCGGAGCGTTGTCGTCGTCTGTGCGAGTCTGCTTCGTTAACCACTGCTTCGGGGTGGAATAAGTGTTCGGAGTGTTGTCTGTGCGAGTCCGCTTCGTTAACCACTGCTTCGCGGATGGAATAAGTGTTCGGAGTGTTGTCGTCTGTGCGAGTCTGCCTCGTTAACCATTGCTTCGCAGATGAAATAAGTGTTCGGAGTGTTGTCGTCTGTTCGAGTCTGCCTCGTTAACCAGTGCTTCGCAGATGAAATAAGTGTTCGGAGTGTTGTCTGTGCGAGTCTGCCTTGTTAAACAGTGCTTCGGATGGATAAGTGTTTTTCGAGAGGGAGTTTTTCGGGAGGGATTGTGAAAAGAAGTGCCATTGCCGATCAAATCGGACCACTGCGATCTTTCTATGCTTGAGAAGTGCAAAAGAGGTGGGATACTCCCACTCATCTAGCCCCGAGAAAGCTCCGCAAATACGCTGTATAATGGCAATAGCCCGGACTCAATTATACCAGTTATAATCAAACCAGTTGTATTACATTAATGTTGAGTGTCGGCTTAGTCTGGTATGTTATAGGTATGCAGCGCTTCGACCAGTTAATTTCTGGCCATCGCGACGTGTCACTGAGTCCTGAGAAGTGCAGAATGTGGCTTGTCTTTCAGCCATACAGTGGTTTGGCTGTCAGCCATATATTTTCAGGCATGTACAGCATTTCAGCCATGGCCCCTCTGTTAGCTTCGTTGGTAGAACGTTGGTAGAACGTTGGTAGAGCGTTGGACGCGTTATCTGAAGACTTCGGTTCGAATCTCGGCAATCCATGGGGAGAATTCGAGCTTTGGCGCGTATGCGGCTGAGGGGTGCCACCAGTGCAGCGGTGAACGCGTCTGCGTTCACCACTGCGGGGCGGCGAAGCCTGAGGTGCAAGGTTCCGCTCCCGCGGTGGTGTCCCCTCTTCCCGCCGGGGCGAGAGGCTGGCGAGACGCCATACAGCCTCAGCAGCTGAGTGCGTCGTAAAGCCACGATGACACACAGCTCACGCGTGTATGGCTGAGAGCCGAACACCATTCGGCCCTTCTCAGGATTCTGATCACATCTGACGAGGGGTAGCGATTGGCTGACCGAAGGGTTGTACGGATAGCTACACACCAGGCCAGGACAGAATTACGAACAATTATTCAAGCCGCGATGATAGCGCCCGTTCTCAGTCCGCCCGTAACACTATAGCACTGCTTCTTCCGCAGGGCGGGCAACCACGGCAAGGCGTACACCTTCCTCACGGAGGACAACGCCAAGCAGGCTGGCGACATCATCAAGGCTCTGGAGCTGTCCGAGTCGCTGGTGCCCAGCGACCTTAAACACCTCTGGGACCAGTACAAGGAGCAGCAGTCCTCGGTAGGTGTGCTCTGCGGGCAGCAGTCCCCGGTAGGTGTGCTCTGTGGGTAGCAGTCCTCGGTAGGTGTGTTCTGGGTAGCAGTCCTCGGTAGATGTGCTCTGTGGGTAGCAGTCCCCGGTAGGTGTCATGGAAGGCAACAATTCACCGTAAATGGCCTCTGGGGACAGCAATCCTCATTAGAAATAGTGTCCTCAGGTCATTAGTTACCGTCAAGTGTCCTCTGAGAGATTCAGCAATGCTCATCAGGTGTCTTCTGGGAGGATCAGCAGTCCTCGTCAAGTGTCCTCTAAGAGGATCAAATGTGATAAGTCGTCTTGGAGCGGCAATCTTCGTCGAGCGTCCTCACAGTTTAATAGTCCTCACCGGACGTGCTGTGGGACCAACACCCCTCGAGAGCAGCGGTCCTGGGTAGTCGTCATCCAGTATCAGTGTGAGGAGGAGCTGTGCCCGGCAAGTGTGCTGTGCCTGCTGTGCGTGCTGTGTCCCTGACCCGCCTGCGGCGGGAGGGCGGCCCAACTCCGGTATCGTGTGACCTCTGTGACCCTGTGACCTCTGTGACCTCTGGCCCTCTGGCCCTCTGGCCTCTGTGACCCCTGTGGCCCTGGCTCCTCGCCACCGGCTCCACGTGACCGGCGACCGGTGACCGCGCCGCAGGAGGGCAAGAAGGTGCGCACCGGCGGCGGCTTCGGCGGGCGCGGCTTCAAGTTCGACGAGAACGAGGCGCAGAACACCAGCGACCGCAAGAAGTTCGAGAAGGCGGCACTGGGTGAGTGGGACCACAGCACGGCAACAACGCATGCTGCCTCTTTGCCGGTGCGTGCGTGCGTGCGTGCGTGAGTATGTACGTGCGTATGTATGTGTGTGCGTGCATGCGTGCGTGCATGTGTGCGTGCGTGCGTGCGTGCGTGCGTGCGAGCGCGTGGCGTTCCGTCCCGGTCGGCGGGGACGAAACGCCACGTGACCCCGTGACCCGGTGACCCCGACGGGCCGGCCCCGGTCAGCGAGCGGGGGCCGGCGGCGGCCGCTGTGGTGAAGCGTCGTCGGGATGGCGCGTTGGTGAAGTGACCCTGTGACCTGGCGCTGTGGTGGTTTGGTGACGACGGTGTGTGATTGGTCGCGTGGTGTGATGACGTCACGGTGTGGCGGCGTGGCGTTTTGTCGCTGCGGGGCTGCGATGATGTGATGTGGGAGTTAGTGCAGGTATAGTGCAGTGTAGTGCAGTATAATGCAGGCATAGTGTCTTATTGTGGATTTATGATGGCACCCATGGCAGCTTGCGAGATTGTTCCGAGTTAAATCAAGCCTTGCTTTACTGGCACTGTGGGTGCCATGCTGTGGTGCAGGACATTGCTGTCCCGCACGGGCACTGGGTAAGTATGGTGATATGCTACTAAAATCTACTAACCTATTAAAACTTCGTCTTCAATAGAGAAAAGCAACTGCAAAAATTTGTAGGCACCCTCGTCCGCCGATGTAGTGTTGTGACGTCGTGACGCGACGTCATAGTGTGGCGGCATGACGGTGCCATGGCGTCACGGCGTATTGATGTGGCACCTTGGGCAGCTTCGATGCTGACCTGCCGTCGCGAGGATGTCGCTCGAGGGAGGTGGTCTGTTCCGCGTGCGCGCGCGACAGCGATCCGCAGCAGCCGTTTGGAACGGATTGTGATGATCATGCGGCAGTCGTTTTGAACGGATTGTGATGATCACGCCTGCAGATGGGGGCCGGGAACGTTCTTTTCTTACAGGCTAAATCCAAACCTTGTGAATGGATGGAGCTCTGGGGTCAAAGATCACGCTAGGCAGTGCTTGTGCGAGCCTGGACCCCCGTCATCCGATGGCAACGTTGGCAGAACGGTCGCGGTCGCGCGTGAAGGGAGACAGCGCGAGTCATGTCCAATTGCGTGTGACGTGATGATTCTGTGGTGGAAGGGCGGGAGGGTGGCTCCCAAATGAGTATCAGCGAACTTCAACCGACGCCTGCCGCTTGCGACGAGACTCGGTTGTGTTGCGGACCTCTGGTTGACGATATCAACAGGTTAACTCTGAACGCACTTTTGGCGTTGAAGTGACGCTGACTTCGCCTGCGATTTTCACGTTGTTCGTGTGGGACAACTCAGAAGTCTTGCTGGCTCGGCCGCAGGCTGGCGGTGCTTGTGACGGGACTGTCTTGGTTGTTACGCACAGCGGTCCCCCTGTCCTGCATCAGAGGTGTCACGTTACGCCGTCCGTCACGCGGGCAGTGCTGCGCTCTTGTCATGGGAGGGGGGGGGGGACTCGGTAGAGCCGCCGCAGTTTTTTTAACGAGATCAAAATGTAGGGACCGGGTGTTTTGCCAGTTTCATCAGCTGCTGTATTACATCACAGCGCCACCAGCGCCCCTTCATCGGTTACTCGGTCGAGACCCATGTGGTGAACTTGGAGATATACTCGCATTTCTAGCACACATTGACTTTGACGTTATTTTCACTCACCCCTCAGTGTAAGTGCGCCAGTGATACTACCTGTTATTAGTTGACAAAATACTTATCGCGTCGTCGCAGAGGTAGGTAAACGTCATCGAGTGGGCGCAAAATGGCCCCGATGCCGACGCGCCCTTAAAAACCAAACCACCACCACCACATCACAGCGCTTCGACTAGCACACATCCAGTTGCCTCTGACAGTTTGTTATCTGCATCGTCATAGTGCTCAATCGGCTCGTCTGCTTTATCCTGTTCTAATCCTTTCCCATTGTAACTGATCTATGCAGTAATGGCCGAGGTAGGACCAAGGCTCGGTTTGAGCGGCCAAACAGGTGGGACTGAGGCTCGGTCTGAGCGGCCAAACAGGTGGGACTGAGGCTCGGTTTGAGCGGCCAAACAGGCGGGACTGAGGCTCGGTCTGAGCGGCCAAACAGGCGGGACTGAGGCTCGGTTTGAGCGGCCAAACAGGCGGGACTGAGGCTCAGTCAGAGCGGCCAAACAGGTGGGACTGGGGCACGGTCTGAGCGGCCGAACAGGCGGGACTGAGGCTCGGTGTGAGTGGCCGAACAGGCGGGACTGAGGCTCGGTGTGAGCGGCCGAACAGGCGGGACTGAGGCTCGGTCTGAGCGGCCAAACAGGCGGGACTGAGGCTCGGTCTGAGCGGCCGAACAGGCGGGACTGAGGCTCGGTTTGAGCGGCCAAACAGGCGGGACTGAGGCTCGGTCTGAGCGGCCGAACAGGCGGGACTGAGGCTCGGTCAGAGCGGCCGAACAGGCGGGACTGAGGCTCGGTCTGAGCGGCCCGATCAGGCGGGACTGAGGCTCGGTCAGAGCGGCCGAACAGGCGGGACTGAGGCTCGGTCTGAGCGGCCAAACAGGCGGGACTGAGGCTCGGTCAGAGCGGCCGAACAGGCGGGACTGAGGCTCGGTCAGAGCGGCCCGATCAGGCGGGACTGAGGCTCGGTCTGAGCGGCCGAACAGGCGGGACTGAGGCTCGGTCAGAGCGGCTGAACAGGCGGGACTGAGGCTCGGTGTGAGCGGCCGAACAGGCGGGACTGAGGCTCGGTGTGAGCGGCCGAACAGGCGGGAGCGAGGCTCGGTCTGAGCGGCCCGAACAGGCGGGACTGAGGCTCGGTCAGAGCGGCCAAACAGGTGGGAGCGAGGCTCGGTCTGAGCGGCCAAACGGGCGGGACTGAGGCTCGGTGTGAGCGGCCAAACAGGCGGGAGCGAGGCTCGGTCTGAGCGGCCGAACAGGCGGGACTGAGGCTCGGTGTGAGCGGCCGAACAGGCGTGACTGAGCGCGCCGTGAGGCCAGCGTGTGCTGACCTGCCCGTCACAGCCGGCTGTCACGTGGTGCTGTCGTGGCTGCTGGCTTGTTATGACTCCCAGTCCTGTGTCACACTCCCTCGCCGATGACACCAGTCCGGTGCCGGCAGACGTGATACAAAAAACGGCGCGGGGACGCATGACACCTATCCCGGTGTCAGCAGACATCGTGACACCAGTCGGCTGTCTGGACACGTCGTGACACCAATTCGGTGTCAGCAGACATCGTAACACCAGTTCAGTGTCTCGACACGTCGTGCACCGGTCCGTGTCGGCAAACATCGTGACGCAAGTCCGATGTCGGGACTTATCGTGGCACCAGTTCGTTGTCGTCGGACATCTTGACACCAGTCCGTGTCGGCAGACATCGTCACACCAGTCTGGTGTCGGCAGACAGCACCCACGGCACCAATCCACTGTCACGATAGGCTCCGTAGCCAGCGCCACTGTCGCGTCTTAGCACCCATCACATTGTGTGAAGACTCAGTATCCATGGCAACGGCGCCATATCCGTTGACACTGAGCCCCGCGGCGTCCGGCCGGCACCGGCCGCCAGTACGGCGGGCGGCATGAAAGCCGTAAAAGTCATGCAGGACGCCGTTCGGGGCCGGTACCGGTGACGCCGGTCGGCCTTGTACCACTGACGGGGGGTGAACGCCTCCGTCGAGGGCGCGCTGACGTCACGGCAGTGCCCAGTGACGTCACGCCGGCCGGCCGGCGGGTCAGAGCGCGGTTCATCAATCGCGTAACGTCATTGGTTGGAGCAGGCGCCGCGCAGGAAGTAGGCGAAGGCCGATTACGTGATGGTGAATCACCGAAGAATATCGCCTGGCTGGTTGTGCGCTGAAAATGCCGCTTTGTTCTGTTCAAGGGTGGGGGGTGGGGGGGGGCATCCCTGTGGGTGACTGAACGGTATTCCTCGCAACAAATATCGCTGCCAACGAAATTTCCTTTCTGCTGAATGACGAGTGGGGTTGGCATTAAGCGTTTGGAAACGCATGTGGGCAGCTAAGTCACGCGGCATCGAGTCTTAGAAGTTGGAAGATGCGATGGGGTGATTCGCGTATGCTGGCTGGACGCCGAGCGTACAGGGCGCGTCATCACCGGCGTACGTAGCTCCAAGCCTAGCTACCGAGCTACAAAGGACCACATGCTTGGGACCAGTTCATAGGACCACATACATGGGACCCCTCCCGATGATGAGCTCTGCGTGCTTTTACGTCTTGGAATCTGCACATGGACTCGAGGCACACGCACATGGCACGACTGCACATGACTCATGCACGTATCTGCTTACCAAGACAGCTTTAATTGTGATGAGGCCAATCAGTAGCCACGCAGCTTTTATCTAAAGAGATCTCAAACGCGTTCACGACGGCGTTCACGTGATGTTACATGTTTGGAGCTCGTGCGGTCCGTGGGCCTGTTTTCAGTCTCAGGCAACTGAGTACCCATATCTAGGCCCACGGGCAGCTCGGAACCCGTGTTCAGTCCCCCGGGCAGGACGGACCCGTTTTCAGTCTCCCGGGCAGCTCGGGACCCGTGTCCAGTCTCCTGGGCGGCTCAGGACCCGTGTTCGGTCTCCCGGGTAGCCCGGGACCGTGGTAACCGCCCAGTCAACCGCCGCTGGAGTGCCGGCCCCAAAACGGAAAGATCACGTCGTCGAACGTATTTACCCCAGCTTTGACCTGACACGGCCGCCGTGCCAGGTCCAGAGCCCTGTCACAACCCCGCACTCGGTCTTCTTACGGATCCGCCGGCTGAGACAACACTCACGGACGAGTCAGCCTTGTGCCGGACACTCGGGAGTCCAGGGGACGCTGAGCCAGACCGTTAGCCGAGCGGACCGTCTTCAGTTGAAGTCGGAGCCGCGGGTTACGCCACCTGGTCGGATCCCCTCGCGGAGCTACCACAGAGTGACGGCGCACGGTGTCAGAACCACGCGTTTGCTGGCCGCTTGACGGTCTGGAAATGCGGC